AAAATGAATGTTTTTTTTTTTTCAAAAACATTTTACTTTTAACCTCTTTTTTTTTTTTAAGAGAAAATTTGGAATGTTATAATCTATAAAACTTTAAAAAAAAAAAAAAAAAAAAAAAGAGATATTTAGGTTTGTAAAAACTAAATATAAAAAAGTTTACAAATAAATTGCAGTAATGCAATAATTTTCAAGAGACATTTGTTTTTATCAAAAATGTTTGTTAGTTTTAAACTAAAGCTAATTTTTTTTAATAAATCTCACAATCAATAAAAAGAGTACGTTTTTTTTTAGTAAATTTCAATTTTAAAAAAAGAGTACGTTTTTTTTTAGTAAATTTCACAAGTTTTAAAAATTGCACTAAATAAACAAATTTGATATTTTGTGGATTCCTCATTAATCTTCAGGGTAATTGTAACAGTCTTTTATGTGCTGTCTCTTGTGGTCAATCATGGCTCCCCACAATTTCCTATCCTTTGTAGCCTAACCCATCCCTTGTTCTGCCATCCATTTACACACATTTGTTAGGTAGGTTACTTGTTTCCTTCTGTTCATGCTGTCAACATATCCTGTGAATGTTAAATTCTCTATAGCTTTTAAAAATTGAAGTGAATGTGTTGTCTCCTTCTTTTTAGTTGAACTTAGTATTGAAGTCTTTAAAAGTTGGATAGGATGAGTTGAGTGATAAAAGTTGTTTGGATCTTAAAATATCATAAAATTTCAATTATCTTGGCAATGAACGAAGCAACAATTGGGAAAAAAAAGATTTGCAGTGCTATCCACAAAAATGATTTAGAAATTCTAAAAGCTGATGAAATTTAAATAAATCCCAAAGTTTTAAATGCATTAATAAAACTAAACATTAACTATGATCGCCTCCATCCCACCCCGAATCTTTTGCCAACGATAAAAAAAACTTTCATATCAACAAGTTGAACTTCCTGTACAGATGACAAACAACAGAACTATACTAAAAATTTGCCATCACCTCCCAAAATAGATACCATTTTTGTGCCAATCCTTTCACACAAAGCCATTGGCATTAAGTAAACTATTCACTGTTTCCCTCTGCTTATCTTTCATGTCCTTTTAGTATAAAATTCTCCAAGCCCTCTTTTCTTGTTATGTGTCCCTGAAATTTCAACTCATTCTGATTCTAAGTTTCCTTCTTATTTCTCTTCATTGTTCACAAGTTATGTCCATGATATTCTCAACATTTGTCATCAAAATCACATCTCTGCCTCTTCTTCATCTGTGAGGAAGTTGTCCTGAATTTACTGCCATATAAGAAGATTAGATATTACATATCAATTCAGCACTCTTATCTTTATTTTATTGTCTTAATACTTTGCTTAGTTTCTGGAAGACATCTTTCACTATTACTACATGCCTTCAAATATTTTTCATATTTTCTGTCATTTGCTACTACATGAATCATAGGAGACTGAGAGTTTCTTTGGAGTATAACAGAAGGTAATAGTTGAGATAGACACGTGCAGAAAATCAACATGCATATATAGTTGAGTGAGAAAATCAACACATTAAAATAAGGCCTGTTTTTGTCATATGAACTGTGGATGTCAAGGAAAGTATTTCTGTATATAAGATGTGAGTTTAACTGATTCCACACCTGTAATAATTATTTTTTCATTTCATTGCTGTTTTGACATTTTTCTTTAAGTTGACTCACTCAAGAAGATAAATTTATCAGATCAGAGATAATCATTTGATACAACAGATTTTGGTACTATGTACAACAGTGGACTTGTTTTACAGGTGAACAGTGTTTTGAAAACATTTTTCTTCATTTTTCACAGTGGTACATAGTTTAGATTTAAATAAATATGGTTATTTTAAATTTTTTTTTGTCACAAAATTTGTAAAGTTTGTATCAGATGTTAAACATTTTCATGCACAAGACATGCATGTGTTGATAACTTTGTCAGCAGTAGCAACCCCTTTTCATCTTTTGAGCATGTATTAAAAAACAAAAAAAGAAACTGGGAGTATGCATGCTGTGAATCCTAAGAAGATTCTCTTTCACCTCATTGAAGTCATGATAGGATGCTAAAACTAGCATTCAGTGTAATAGACACACATGGCTTACTCATTCTTTAACTCACCAACAGCCTAACTTCAACTTTTTCTTCATTCTTTAGAGATTTTTAAATTAACTGAACAGAATTAATTTTTTTTCTTTAATCATTTTACTTTTAATCTCTTTTTTTATAAAGGAAAATTTGAACTATTATAATCTATAAAACTTTTTTTTAATAAAATGAATATAAAGAGATATTAGCTTTATAAAAAATAAAAAGTTTTCAAATAAATTGCAGTGATGCAATATTTTCAGAGATATATTTTTTTTATCAAAAATGTTTTGTTTTGAACTAATTTTGTTGTAGTAAATTTCACAACCTTTAAAAATAGTACTGTCTTTTTAGCAAATTTCACAATCTCTAAAAATAGTACTATTTTTTTTTAGTAAATTTCACAATCATTAAAAATAGCATTGATTTTTAGTAAATTTCACAATCTTAAAAAATAGCACTGTTTCTTCTTTTTTCTATTTTTTAGTAAATTTCAATCTTTAAAAATTGCACTGAATATACAAGTTTTATACTTTGTGGATTCCTTATTCTTAAGGCTAATGGTACTGAATTTGCACTTTCTTCTAGGAACAATCCTTGAAATTTTCTCCAAACAAATACCAATAGAATAAAAACTTCTATCTAGTTTTGTTTCACTTTCCCAATTGTCTATTTTTTCAACCAATTCGACACTTTTAATTTTGTTTGTCAACACAACACCTTCTCTACTTCAAATGATGACCACTAATCTAATAAGTATAAAATTTAATGATTACAAGCATTAATGTTAAATTTAATAGGCTAACAGTTTCTTTTCTCACACTTCTCACTTGTGGAACTCCCTTCTGGCTCCATGCTTTACAGTCAACTTTAATCTTCAAAAATTTAGATGCAATGTCAATTGCTATCTACTGTCCTCTTGATTACTCTTTTCTATTCCTGCTCTTTGGTAATGTTTCTGTTTTCTAATATTTCCACACCCAACAATCCCTTGTGTCTTAGTGGCTTTACTGCTTTGCTTGAGGTGAATGTGATTAAAAAAAAAAAAAGCGTGCACAGGTCCATTTTGTATAATAGTTCCCAAATATCTATATCATTATTTGGTAAATTTAGTCATTTGACTAAATTTAATGACCTCAAAAGGAAAAGTCATATGAAATAAATAAAATACCTTAAGTATGTTATACCACAACCAATTCATTACACTAGTATGAAGCAAAGTCATTTTAATGTGAGGTACTGGATGCATGTATAACAGAAATCAGCATGCTAAGTATTAATTCTGACCCTATATGTTTTGTCTCCCCTTGCATAAATGCCCTAGGAAAAGGCATGAATCCATCTTACTCCAGCTATAGGCAAAATTAACCTTTAGCACTCTGCATTACTTCCCTTTCTGCTGCATTCTTTTTCAAGGCTTCTCAAATACAGTATCCTTATTAATGTCACTCAAAGTTGTTTTCTGTTGCCATAGCAGGATATGAGTTACCTTCAGTGGCAGAATAAACTTTTTGTACAGCAAATGAAGTCACAGACACAGAGTGATAAAGGTTAAATAGCAGATTAAACTTTTTTAACAAGTCTTAAGTTGATGTTAGTTAAAAATTGCTATAAAACATTGTTGGTTTATTTATGGAATGATCTATTAACTGTCTCTTAATTTGTAGATACATTTATGTTTATTTTCAATTTTTCTAGTTGAATTGTTTATTGCATATGGTCCATTATTGTACATAGTTTTGATATGTGTATGACTAACTACCTTATGAAATTGAGAGTGGCGGTGGCGTATCATAGATTCGCGTGGTGTGCACAAGATTCTTTCACCAGCCTTGAGTATCAGGAGGGATATACTTCCTAAGGGTCGGAACTATAAGCTCCAGTTAATTATTGTTAGCTTTAAAAAGCTAGGAAAATAAGGGTTAAACCCGAAAAATTTCAAGAAATTTTTAACGTAACGAACTTTTGTTTACCAACCTAATTATTTTCTTTTTATCAGCTCCCAAATAATCCAGAGATGAACTTGGTTCTTAAACATTGTTTCTTAGATATTGTTTTTTGCATTTTCAATAAATCCTAAAATAAAAAGGTTAGTTCTAGAAATAAATAGATCACAAAAATAGCTTAGGTAAGTAAGTTTGTTTGTCGGCTGTAGATACGAAAGCCTAATAAAAAAAAAATACAAACATAGACAAACTAAAAACACGCCCTTGGGTCCAAATAGAGCAAATTTTAAATTTAAAGGTCTGAGACGTTAAACTTAAAAAGTAATTGAAGCGTTTTTTAATTGACATTTGTTTTATAAACATGACAAATAATTTTAAATGACTATGAGTGGAGTAAAAATGGTTAACAATTATTAACATTCAACAAATATAGCCAGTACCTTACCGGATTTCGAATGTCAAAGTCAAAAAAACCCTTGTAATGTAGCGTTATGCTAAAAACTTAGCGAAATGACAAAGAATAATGTTCTAAATAATTTTTTTAAAGAAAGTGTTATGGTATATTTTTACCGAGTAAAACTATTCTTTACAGACAGGACAAACTGAAAGAAAAATAGTAATACTGATCACGTTTTAGAACAAGCTTTGACTTGTTTAGTTTGGTGGTAATTTTTTTTTTTTTTTATCTGTATAAACATTAAAACATACAATATAAGAATTATTAACAATTAACATACCTATAAAGTTAAAAAATATCTAAATAAAGTATTATATTTTTAAATAAGAAAAAGAAACTAAACAAACGGCAATTAAAAAGTTCAACTGAAATCGACTTGAATTTTAAATTAAAAGGTTTTCGTTTTTTTCTTATTCTACGTAAACAAAAAAATAGACATTTTCTCGCCTTTACCTACTTCATCATATTAAACTACAATATAATCTACCATAAAATATAAATATACAATACCTTAAGTAGGTGTAAATAAGTTCAGTGTGAATATTTATTTCTGTCCTGCTTTCCGTCTTATAGGAATAGCTAAAAAAAATGAACAATTTCCGTATTCAAGGGAAATAACTCAGTTTTCAATTTTATTTATTTTTTTTACATTAGCTGACGTCGTCTTTTATATGTCGGACCCCTTCTGGATGTGGAGTACATGGCCCTTCACGACAGGGCCGGTACAAGGGTCTCGTGCACCCCCAATCTATGATACCCCCCCCCCACACACACACTCTACTAAAACTCAACTCAATTGTCATAAGGTACTATTCATAAAATAGGATTTTATTCTAACCTAATTAATTATTGTACACAATAATGCATGTAATAGGTGAACAATGCAACTAGAAAAATAAAAAATAAATAGTAAAAATACAATGTCATAATAGTTCATTCCATCTTAAAATAAATCAACAATGTTTTGCAGCAATTTTAACATCAACTTGAGATTTATCTTGTTAAAAATTTGAAGAATTTTAACACATGCAACATTATGGTTAAAAAAAATGGAAAATTTTAGTTTTTTTTCGAGTTAGCTTGAGAAAAACAAATTCATGGATTTGGACAAAAAAGAAAATGACATCAAAATCTACAAAAAAATTTCATCCTTTGATAGTCAGTTGTGCTTAGTTTAATTTCAACGTATATAAATGTAAGTAGAACAAATAAGATAGCAAGGGTCACAAAGCACTGCCCAGGGTCTTCAATGAGGCTAGGCCCACCTCCTGATTGGGATGTTCAGTAGTACATACCGGCCGTGCTTCACAACATCCTATCTTTCATAGCTTTTAGTAATGTTTGTTGCATTACTAGCTTCCCAATAACTAGCTTCTGCCATTTCTTTACACAAGCTCATTAAATATCTATTAGTTCTAGAACAAAGCATTTGACTGTTTGAGGGACAGCTGTGTCAAACTAGCACTGTTGTATAATGATAATTTTCAAAGTATTTTAAACATTATTACGTTTTTTCATTTGATGTTGTGCATGCTTGTTTTCAACTGTATTGTATGCGTGTGTTGCTGCATCTCAGGCAGTAGTACCAGTAAAAAATATTACACACACACACGCACGCATTTTGATACACATTGTGTTTTATGTGGATTGCTCCTAAAAATTTTAAATTTCAAATGCTGATTTTCTGGGCTAGCTGGTCTCTCTCTCATGGAAGAGTCACATAACACAAGCTTCCATCTTCTATTTGGTCTTGTGCTAAATTTTGTGAATATAAAGTCTCACTTTATTAAGTATTAAAAATGTTATTAAAATCGGTAGTGAGTTCCGATAAAAACAAAATAAAATATGAAAATAAAATATTTAAACAAAAATAAAAAGAATACAAATTAAAATAAGGCATTTGTGCTTTCTTTTAAAATCTCTTTCTTTCTCTCTCTAAACTTCTCTTTCAACTAAAGAGAAGCCATTCCTCAAATAAAAAAACAATGAAAAAGAAGAAAAGACTGCACATAACAGCAAACTGAAAGTTTACATGACCAGAGTCTACTAATTTGTGATTGAAGACTACCAAAAATCAGGGAGGCCCCATGCATAACTTCCACTATATAAAAAAATAAAAAAGAAAGGAATGCCAGAAAATAAAATAATTTTGGCCAATCAAACAATGTTAACACAAAGAGACTTTTTGTGCTTGCTGAAACCAAGAGTCTAGGAGCCTGGTCAAAATGATGTATTCTCCTGCAGTCACTTCTCATCTAGCTCACAGCTATGAGGAGAAGTGACAGCAAGAGAAACCACAGAACAAGAGACATGACCATCAAAGAAACCAGCCATGTATGATGTGTGAAGAAGTTTAAGAGATCATCTATTAATATTTTCTGCCCTTTTTATGACCGAGAAAAACATAGTAGATTGACGCTGACCTATTTTTAAGATGACCACTACTAGCAAGGTCTGGCTTTGAATTGCTCACTACTGGGCCAAAATGAACTTTCTCCAGACTGCCATCAATATCTACCTTAAACAAACATTTTGCTATATCCAATATCAAAGGACTAACTCTAAGTCAAATAAATAAAATATGTTAATTATTTTAGTCAGTTTGTTTAATTTCTGAAGTTCTGATAAAATAATTACCAAGAACCCACTGGTAGAACTCTCTCCAAATCCAATAAATTGTCAATTTTTAGAAGATTTTTTAAAATCAAGGTGTTTTATATTTAAAAACTTTCCTAATATTAATTATTCTGATTATTTTTTGTTACCAAATAAACAATTTTCCACACAATCACTTTTCAAAAATTTATCTTGTTCTTAGAGAGTATACACAAATCATTTTTACATCACATTTTTCTTCAATTTTTTACTGCAACTTAAATTTAGCTGAACTTGTGTATTGACTGTATTATTAAGAAATGTATAAATTTACAAAGAATTTCCTATTTTACAAGAGTATTTATAAAAATATTAGGACATAAATTTTTTCCATATCGACAATATGGGAAAATGATACATAAATTTTTATATAACAATTTTAGAAAAATCTATGACAAGGTGGAAAAAATTTTTTGTGTGACACGTTTTTGTCCATTAGGACATGATTGAACTAAAGTGGCGTTTACATTGATATAGTTACACATGTGCTGGAACGAGAGGGAATGCTGAAATTTTATTCTTTTTAATTTAAAGGACGAAAGGTGTGACGCAAAAAGTTTTCTTCTGCTTTCTTATAGAATTTCCTAACATATATATTTGCTATATAGTTTAAATTTGGACTATCAATCTCCTATCTCTAATACCATCTTACTCATGGCATAAAGATTTTGATGATAAATTAAGTTTTATATAATTTTAGATCCCCTATGGAAGTTAACAGATTGCATGTTTGTGTGTATTTTAGGTGAAGGTGCATGTTCAATATCTAAACAAAGAAGAGAGAAGCATACAAAAACTTTGCTATGGACGTTTTTATGATGACTGTAATAAAACAAAGTTCTGTGTCTCTTGGATATGTTTGTTCTCTTTCTGGTCCAGAAGTTAGAATAGGTGTATAAGTATTGTATTCATGGTTGAGCTGAAGTCAGCCTTGCACATAGTTGGAACAACCAAAAGAAAGTTTCTACTTTATCATTGGAAGGTTAAACAGGTTATGGGGTGTCCTTTTACTTTTTCTTGGTCCAGAGGTTAGGGTAAGTCAGTACAAGCATTGTTACAATGGCTGCGCTCAAGTCAGCCTTGTACAGAGTTGGAACAACCAAAGAGAAAGCTTGACTTACCTCATAGGTTGATATTTTGCTTCAACAATGCCACCTAACAATGTTTGGTGAAACCAAGTGGGGTAATCATATTTCTGGTTCCTTTACTCTTCTTTTGTATTTCTTTTTCTTTATTACTCATTATTATTTTATTTAGAGATTATATTTCATCCCTACCCCCACTGAAATTACAAAATTAATGACCACCTGATTTAAACACCTAACCATAATCATTAAAGCCACTGGATTAGTGAAACAATGAAAATGATAAGTAAAAATAATGATTAAAATTGGACGTGAACAATTTTTATCATGTAAGTTAATCAGTCCTGCATTTTTATAAACAAATAATATGCTGTGCTTTCAAAGAAAATCATAAAATATTATCTCTCTGGTGTTGTTATTTGCACTGTTTACATACAGACTTATCTTGGTTATTAGGTGCAAAATGCCTCTGGAATAAGATATTGCTATTATTTACATGACTTTGTGCAGGTGGTGTAATGGGTATTGGCTTGGAATAAGAAATCAAAGTTTCGAGTTCAAATTTCATTAAGTGCTACCACATTGTTTTGATTGATGGGTTGATTTGTTTTCTATGATTTATTAACATATTACCTATTAAAGCCAGAAAATATATTTCAGATTATAAGAATTTGGTGGGGGGATGGGTGTGAGATAATAATGATTTAGTGATACTAGTATTACTAATTAACCCATACATTTCCTAAGGGTATTTGCAGGGTATAGTTGTAGGTAGTTTGCAAGCAGTAGTTTGAGGCCTTCATAGAAGGTAGTTGCCTGTAAAATAAAGTAAGAAACAAACCATATATATATATGTTACACATATATATATATAGAAGACCCTATGTCTGGCAACAAGATTGTGCACCATGCCACACAAGCAGGAAAATGCAGTCATGGCTACCAAATAATTTCTGTGACTAGATCACCCCTTACATCTGTCCACCTAACTCCACAGACTGCAACCCCTTGATTATTATGTCTTAGGTACTGTCAAGTGAGAGACCAACAAAATTTCATGTAACACCAAAGATGAACTGAAGGAAAGGATTATGGCAGCATTCACCAACTTAAACAAGGAGATTGTCCAGAAGAATTGTTGGAAATTCCAAAGTCTGGTGGATATGGTTGAAGCAATAGTGATTTTATTGAATAAATTTATTCTTTAATATTTCAAGATATTTTTGTGTAATTTTGGTAAATATATGTTAAAATGAGATATCAGTGTTATTTTCATTTTTGCATAATTTAGATAATTTATCCATCGTACCCAGTATAACGTTGTCGGGTCAGCCGATGATCTAAATGGCTAACTGAATATCTGATAATGGCCGTCAATATCTGAATTTATCCATCAATCGTTGGTTGCACTGACTTCTACAGTTGACAAAAAGGCCAGTCAAATGCCCATGTTGTGACTGATCTCAAACAACCAGAAATCTGCTGCAGGAGTTGCTATACTATGGCTAATGGTGGCTCTGATGATTATATAATGAGGGAGACAACAACTCTTCAAACAGATCATTTATACAAAGTAATATTGAAAAAATACAAGCTTCAAAACAAAATAAATAAATAAAACAAAGGAGTGATGGACTATTATATTTTAGACTTGGGCTCTTAGTTGCTCGCTCTGGGCATCTAATTGTTGCTTTTAGGTTGGTACACAATCATGGGTTCAGGAGGTAGCCTAGTCAGTTTTTAGGCATATTCTGATTCAAATCTAAGTGATAACACTTCTCGGATTTCTCCTGTGGACTTTGCTGAACTACTCTGGAGTCTGCTAATTTGTTCTGCTCAACCTGTGGTTCTACTCTGCTTGATCTGAAGTCCGGTTCTCACCGAAAGCCTCAAAATGCGCGGTTTTTATAATACTTTGCCCAAAACCAGGTGGGGGTCTGACTGGTATAGAAATATCAACCA